GTGAGAACATGGCAAATTTAGCTCTTTTCACCATGCATGATTCAAAAGTTATAAATCGATATTCTCCTAATCGAGTGCCATCTTTGCTTCATGCTGAACGGTTACGTTATGTTTTCTCTGCAGCGTTAAAAATGTGAAAGTTCCATCTTCATCTTCCATCGCCGCTTCTCCTTCCGGTTCGCGGTGAAAGTTCCAAAGATTGCAAATTATCTATGGGTAAAGTTGTATTCCCGACAGTTTAGACGGATGTGGGAAAGTGATAAGTGACTCGATTAATAATATTTTCAAGACAATTGCCAAAACGCAAAATTATAATTGAGGACACTGCACTAAAATTGAATGCGTAAATAATTAATTTACCCTTTTTGGTTTATTTTATATATAAATTGCAACATATTTATCGAAATAGTTTGACATTGTCGTTGTTCAAAACTCAATGTTCCCAGTTGACAGGAAGTGAAAAAAAACAACCCTGGTTTCGACAATTCTTATTAGTTCTCTACAGCAGCTGATGAATCGTAGCAACAAATGTAAATGTAGTAAGGAATGTTTTCGATCAAGCAAATACGGCGTGTGTTCCGCATGAAGGAGAGCCAAAACAAGGAACAAGCAGTCAGCAGTGGCAAAACTACAAAACTAAAAACCTTTTCTAGACAGAATAACATCGACCGGCGTATCGTACGTATGCGGTCTGTCTGAAAAAATAAGAAAGTTGCAATGTGCAAAAATTAATCTGACATATAGATCAGATGTATGATAGAATGTCCTGAGATCTCATATATGGCCAAAGTCAACTACCAGATATCAGATAGAACTGTAGGATATCAAATATGAGAAATATGCTGAATCAACTAAGCTGGCTGAAACCACTTCTACATGCACCAAACAGAGAAGGGATTCCCGGTAAAGATGGCATGCATGTCAAAGTTAGCAAACAATATTGTTAGGATGATTACCTAGTGAGAGGTCACGAATTGTTGCTCTCCTGGGAATGAGCTCCGTAGCGAGCGATCGCCGTTCACAACTTATCAGACAGTTAGTAACCCAGAAATTCTTTTTTATTCCAGAAGTGAACACTACAAGAGGTAAGATCCATGCTGAATATACGAACATTCATTCCAAGTCTGGCGAAGGTACGTTAAACGATGCCTGCCGCACCGCCTGTTGGTTAATACTTCATGTGCAGGTGGCCACAGACGCTCGCGTCTAGGTGAAGCAAACGCTGAAACTGCAGAATGGTAGGTTATTTTGATGTTCAGGATACGGCACATTACGCCGTACTGATGTGGATATCTTCTTTTATCTTAGGGTACGCCGGGCGGTCATTTAGGTGGAATAAAGATCAGAGATAATTCGGGTCTGTCGCGTCAAAAATGTCAAAAAAGACGACGCTGAATGTTATTATCAGCCATGACCTGACAAATGTGTCGAGTGACAACGACGAAGATCCTTTCTATGACTGCTAGCAGCTTGTTGTTACGACTTTGTTCTAATGACGTCACAATTATCACATGCGACTTCAACGAGATGTGAGCGCTGAGCATAACACGTGGCCAGGTATTGACAGCACGAATCACAATTGCAGTCATCTGTTAAGCTTTTTGGCTACAAAGAGCTTCATTATAAGCTGGACGCTTTTTCTTCATAAATGCATTCACCAAAACAACTTAACGTCCCCCGATAGAAGCTAAGACACAGCGGTTGTATTGGGTCTGGTCACTAAATCAACGTAACGGAATTTCGCCGAAAATCAGAGATGTAATATTAACACCGTCTGGTTGAAAAACATCGGCTGCTCGATGTAGACAGGCCAAAATGTAAAGAAGCGGCGGGATGGACCTACTAAGAAGAGGTAAGGAGTAATTTCAATGCCACCGCGAAGTGGCAACGTCGATGAAGCCCATGGATTTCAAAGAAGCCGTCATTTCCTCGGCGTAAAACGTAGTTTTTCAGGTAAAGAAGAAAATAGCCATACTGCCCGGTTATTTTTAAAAAAAAATCTAGTCAGGTGAATGCAAAGGAATCTGGCAAAGAAGGAGTACTTGCAACCCCCTTTTATGGCTGCTCATTGCCGTATTTTCCGTGTAGTCAACTAGCGCTACAATCGAGAAAATGATCTTTGGCCAGAGGTAGATCAACAAGATCAAATCAGGAAAATCGACAAGGTAGTCACAAAAGGTGATTCAAGAACAGTGTTCAAAGGTGTACGACAGTTGTCCAGTAAACAGGGGACCCTACCCGCCCTTATCGAAGACGCTAAGAATATCCCATTGACCAGTGAAAAAGAACGCCTCAAAAATGGGCAGAGAATTTACTGCGTTGAATTTACCGTTAACAGCAGCATCCCAGATTCGTTACTTCCAAAAGAATAAGTGAAAAAGGGAAAAACCTCGAAAAACTTTGGATACAGTTAGTAGCAACACAACATCACGCGACGACAGGCCAAATTATCGATTTCGTTAGTAACAGCCCATCGCCGGACTGAAAAAACTTCCAGAAGCCCTACTGACTCAGACACCGCGCACAGGATCAGAGACTGAACTGTCTCAAAACCGTGGATAAATATTATGAAAAGCTTAGAAACGCTGTAAGAACGACATACATACTGTAATGTATTCAGTTCTAAAGTTAGATGACATCGAGGATCACATGAAAATCATTACAGCACTTAACACTACCCGACGACATTACGCCCCAATCAGATATCGCCGAAATTCCTGAGGGCACTAGTCACCAATGACTGCAAAGGAGTGACCTACCGAGGAGCAGTAAAAAGCCGATTCCGTATATTTCGTTAGCATGCTGTTTTTCTGTCATATATCCATATATAAAACGATATATATTTAACAATGAAAAATTTATTACATTGTATTCACTTCGAAAAGACATAAATCTGAGTTATAATCTTCAGCTTCCATTTCAATATAACCGAAACACCGTATCTTTAGATTACTTGCACTCGCTTTTACCCCTCCGAAACTAAGTTTAATCAGATTCGACGCCATCTATAAAGAGAAAGTCAGAATAGGCAATACTGCCTATGACGAAAACTTTCAACAATCGACCTACTTAAATTTTGGGCCGTTTTCCAAACGGATTGTAAAGTTGTCAAAAGATTTATGTTGAAACGACAAAAAACGTCTAAAACGCTCTAATATAGCATGAATATGAAAAACATTTTGCTATTCTGAATCATGCTACTGAAAACGTACACCGTATTGCTAACAAGGATATGAAAATCTTATACTGCGATCCATGATATAACTCGCTCGTCCGTTGTATTTCAAAACACGACGCAACCAGAAACAAGTTCATACAATATACCTATGAAACATCTGAAAGGTGCAAACGCTCAGTGACTCTGTTCATCACCTGAACGTGCTGCAACTTCGAAGATCAGCATACATAACCTAAGGAAAAACTTTCAAGCTGACTTTTTTTTCGTTTCCCATTTTTCGTTTTTTAGCTTTAGTTTTAGTTCAAGCCTACACCTGTCTATCGCAATGGTTGATAGGTCGGCAATATTATCCGTTCTACACGTTTACTGTTCACATCATCCTGTCTGACTAATTGATTGATTGATCAATCGATCGATCGACTGACAACAAAACTGCAGGTTTTATGATACGTGATTCTGCCTTTATTAAGAGTCTGTATGAACGACCGTATCCTCTAGTTGTAACCCTATCCTAAATAATTTAATTTGTACTATTTAATCTTCTTGCATTCATTTCTTCCTTTTTGTTATATCAGCATTTTTTATCTTTAATTTCTTTCATTTATCATGCCTTGCGTTTACATCTTCACCATCTCACCTTGTTTATCTTACATTTCTTTGTTACAATGCTTTTATCAGATACCTTCTGATGATCTCCATATCTTTTCTGTATATTATTAATGCTGAACAAACTTTATTGCGGGTTCTGGAAGCCTTACTTTTCAAATCTGTTTATTCGAGAATTTTAAACGTTTTTTATTTCATTAATTAATGACATGATGTATATCACGCATTTCTGAACAGGAATGAACTCAAATATATAGAACAGAAAGTTAAAGTGGGAATCAGCAGGAAATGCTACAAGAAGACCCGATAATCGCTGGACAAGAGAAACACTAGATTAACGGAGAGAGAAAACGGTCCAAAGGAAAATTTCCAGATCGACAGCGGGAGAAAAGAGAAGTTTGCTGGAGGATCAAAATAGACAAAATGGCAGAAAACATAAGTCTGTGGCAATTTCTTTGAGAAGACTTCACTGAGCAGCGGATCGAAAATGCTGATAAAGATACAGCGCAAGAAGATAAATGAATAAACGCACAAACAATCGAAAGTTGCTTATGGCTTTAATCTTGGATAACCCATCACTTTGCAACCTGACACGAAAGATTTAGCATAACACCGATTAGAGCAGATCAAAACGTAACATGATCGACCCAAGACATCTGGACCATCAAATA